TCCCTTGAGGACAAAGTTGCTGAAATTGAAGCACAGCAGTGCAATGGGATTTACATCTGGAAGATTGGCAACTTTGGGATGTACTTGAAATCTCAAGAAGAAGAGAGACCGGTTGTCATTCATAGCCCTGGATTCTACACAGGCAAACCCGGGTACAAACTCTGCATGCGTTTGCATCTTCAGTTACCAACTGCTCAGCGCTGTGCAAACTATATATCCCTCTTTGTCCACACAATGCAAGGAGAGTATGACAGCCACCTCCCTTGGCCCTTCCAGGGTACAATACGCCTTACAATTCTTGATCAGTCTGAAGCACCTATAAGGCAAAACCATGAAGAGATAATGGATGCCAAACCAGAGCTGCTTGCCTTCCAGCGACCCACAATCCCACGGAACCCAAAAGGTTTTGGCTATGTAACGTTTATGCATCTGGAAGCCCTAAAACAAAGAACCTTCATTAAGGATGACACATTATTAGTACGCTGTGAGGTCTCTACCCGCTTCGACATGGGTAGCCTTCGGAGGGAGGGTTTTCAGCCACGAAGTACCGATACAGGTCTATAGCATCCTTTCATTTGTTCAAAAAAAACCATCTGGAGAAAACAGTGCCTTTCCTTGTGCTGTTCTCGATAATAATGTGCAAAAAAAAAAAAAAAAAAATGGGAAAGCAAGATGTAATACCCACTAGTGAATGTAGTTAAAGAGGTCACTTACCACTTCTTCCTGTTGGAATTGAGGCTGTTTTTTCTTCGGCATCTACGTGTTCTATGCTTTTTCAAAAATTTTATGCCTAAAGTGCCTGTGGCATGTTGGAGCAGCTGTTTTGTCAATTAGGATACCTCTTTGTTGGACTTATGGACTTTTGCTCCAGTGTGTTTTAGTGTCAGAAAGCCCAGAGTTGGAGTACTGAAGCTCAAGCCTTTAATAATAATGGACTTGCCTTAAAACGACAGCTTATTTTTATAGTATTGTATGTAATATATTAAACATGAGAATCACTACTGCCTTGTGCTGGTACCAGCAAGAAGAATTATTACTCTAGAGAGTTGAGTTCTCATTTTATTTCACCTCTTAGATTCCAGAGGATTTGAACCATAATCCTTGGAAAGCTTAAGTTCTCATTCACCCCATTTTTTTCCTCCAGGTTGTTACTAAGGATATTCAAAGACTAGTTTAAACCCTAAATATAACCTTACTTATTTAGTGTAAACATGTTGTCTGTTGAATAATACTTGTTTTAAGTGTTCCATTCTGCCTTGCTTAACCTACGTCCTTGAGGCCATGAAGTAGCATCTTCTCCAGAGTTTATAATGCTGAGAACCCTGTGGGTACCAGCTGCTCAGCGTTATGCTATGTAACCCTTTCTGTCTATTCAGTGCAAAGTGAATTTCACAGCTCTGCATATGTCTTCAGTTGTTTAATGCTTATAGGACAAGGAGATGTGCACATACAATCAACACCATAAAAATTAAAAGTGACTCAACTAGTCAGCCAATGTGGCATCTCATTGGTGGTAAGAGAAGCTATGTGTGAGCCAGAATTCAGTTTCTTTTGAATACTCTCTGGTTTAGTTCAATTAAATGGAATAAAATTGATTTCCTAACTCGAGAGGTCATCAGAGGTACCTGAGAGGTCCCCAAACTAAGGTTGGAAGTCATAGTGGTTATATCACAACTTAGCTTGGGAAGGTTGCTTTAGTCCAGCAATTCACTGCAGGTTCTCAGGAGGGCCCTATGGAATGTACTGCGTTGGCCAGATGTTCTGATACGGAGAGATGATTTTTGTGCTATTATATATTTGTTAAAGGCCTACAGATATAAAATATAGTGGAATCTAGTTCTCAGGGAATCCCACAACTAGTATAGGCTCTTCTAAAGGATCTAAGGATCCATCCATTCTTAGGTTTACACAAGATAATTTGAAGTTGTCTGGTAATGAGAGATGTTGTATCTCCAGAGAGGCCAAATCAGAGTCCCCGAGTAGCATTCAGCATCAGCCTTAATTTGAAGAGGAAACTGGTTTTTGGTTCCAGACAGCCCTAGCAAGTGTCACTTTGAACTTTCCCTTTGTTTTTCTGTCTACTCTCCCTCCCAGCCTCACTGTTAGGCTCCTGCTCTGGTGAGTTTGTTACAGAGTGAAAATAAAAGTGAAGCAGAGACCTTGTTTCCCTGTGCTGCTGTTAGTACCACAGGCTCATGGCTGGTTACCAGTTTGTTCCCTGGCAGTGTGTGTCTCTTAGTTATGCTTTC